ACGAGAATAGAAATCACGATTAGACGAACGCGAATTTGATCGACCCTGAGATTGTATTTCATCATGACGACTAAGCAAAGTATTAGAAATTTTCATCGATTGGATATCAAGTTCATTCACTGCTTCGTAGTTAATACATGCAGTTCTAGCATCTTGAAAAGAACAGTTCGGCATTCTTAAAAGCCCCTTTTCTAGACCTGGTATGTTAATTCCAGCAATTAATCGATCTCTCAGCTGTACATGAAGTTGATCACCAAAATTGCATTTCGCAGCTTGTCTTTGCAATTCATGGATGAAGTCCTTAACCTTCTGATTATCCTGACGAATCATCTTATGAAATTTTGCTCTCTCAGGACATTCAAAACTGGTGCACTTCACATGATTTAATAGTAATTCCTTGAGAGTTGAATATGGAAGTGCGATCGGCTTATCTGGATATGCCAAGGTTTTTAGTAAACTGTAGGCTTCTTGACCGACAGTGGTATTGTTTCACGTTGAGTTTAATTCACTGTTTTGATCATAAATTACGTATCAAAACTACCGTTTACACTTTAATTGAATTTATTTCAGTTAACGTGACATTGTATTTGTGTGTTTTGATCCTGCTTTTGTGTATTTACTGCATCAAAGCATTCTTGGTCGACTGAGGCTTGTTTATTTGATAAGGTTGTGATTTATCTTACATATCTACCTTGCCTATCATTTTGCTTATTCTAAGATGGTCGGCTCTGTACACAAGTGTGGACAGCCATATTGCTTATTCCCCGTGGAAGAAGGGATGCAGTGTGACGATTGTAAGAAGTGGTTTCATAAAATGTGCACCCGCTTAAGCCCTGCTGCTTATAAAGGGTGCTCGAAACCGAATTCTCATTGGCTCTGTATGTTTTGTTGCTCAAGTAAGACATTACTCATTCAGGAAGCCATCAGCCTTCTAGCGTTAGCTAAAAAGGTTGAAGTAGGCCGTGCCGGCAACATGGATACTGATAATGAAGATTGTATCAGTGTCGTAAATGCTGCCATGGCAGGTACCAGACACCCAATTTCGCAACATGAAGCAAAAATTTGTACTCCGGTACAACCAGTGAAAGCCATGCCATTTAGTACTGAGGGACCAGTCGCTTTAGCAGCGACTGAGGACCCGGCTAGAACCACTATCGTCCAGAATAGTTCCAATCTGGATGCTGAGAATAGTGGTAAATGGATTACGCGGAAACGCAAAAAAGACGGAAAAATACCCAAAGAAAGCGCGCGTATAGTCGGTAAGTCATCGTTGGACTCACGTCCTGAGCATCAGGCAACTCCGCTCAAGTCCAAATGTAAGGAAATATTTAATACTGTTGTGGATGGAAATAGTCTAACTTCACCAAATGTTGTTGGGAGTAACTCACTTGACCCACATGACACTGTGATAAAGAAAGCTAATAGCAAGAAGCCGGTAGCTAACCGGCAGGATCTGACATCACGGTCAAAGGCCGTGAACACGACTTTTAAGGCAGTTAAACAGGTGCCTAGTGTAATCATCTGGAACTTGGCAGAATCGAAAGACACCGATCCCGCTAAGAGACATGCCCACGACCTGAAGTTAGTCGGATCTCTCATCAGAAATATACTGCCAGAGGAGGTCCCAGGGGTACATATATCGAAAGTCATCAGACTTGGTAAGTATGTTGGAGGCGAAACCCAACAGAGAAGGATCCTCAAATAAGTACTCGGTAATTTTGAGGAAAGGGACGTATTACTAAATAATTCACGAAAAAATTGGTGACTCAAACATTCGTATTCGACCTGACTGGCCACTTGAGGATCGGATCAAGTGGAAGAATGCTCTAACAGAGTTAAAAACTCAAAAGCTAAACGGTGAAGCGAACCTTACGATTAAGGGTTTTCGGATAGTCAGGTCTTGGAAGCCAATGCTTCCGAGACCTGTGTGGGTAGAACGCATGTCTCCAAAAACACCCTAAATGTGTGTTATACGAATGCTCGTAGTCTTCGGAATAAGATGTCTGAACTAAGTTTGATGGTAGACGACTTAAATTCGGATATAATTGTCATCACCGAAACTTGGCTCACTGTAGATATAGACTGTTCTCCAGTCATTTCAGGCTACATCTGTGTCAGAAGTGATAGAGTTAGAAGTCGCAAGGGAGGAGGCATAATATTATATATTAGGGACCACTTCCGCATTAACTCGATCATATCGGAGGCGCATGTAAGTGGTACGTGTGAGGTAGTATGTTGTACAATTAGGTCTAGAAACGGGTTAGTGACGATAGGAGGAATATATCGTAGTCCGTATTGTCTCGCTGACGACTTTATCCTAAAACACGTCTGTTCTTGGAGTAAAGCAGAATGTTGTCTGTTCGTTGAAGACTTCAATGCACCCCATATAAACTGGATAGAGCTCACAGCTCCAGGTGGGAGTTTCGATAGCGTCCTTCTGTCATCAATTATTCAATGTGCACTTGTACAATGTATCGTTAAGCCAATACATATAGACTTGGAACATAATCCGTCATTGATAGACCTTGTCCTCACACACCACTCTGAAGATATCGTTGACATTCAGCATCTTCCCCCACTGGTGAATAGTGACCATGTCGTACTTTCCTTTAAGTTCCGGATACATGGTATAGAATTTGCATCAGCTTCACCCCGTCCTAATATCTGGAGAGCTAATATTCCGGCAATCAGGGACTATGCTATCTCAATTGACTGGTCGGTCGATGCTGATGGATCGATTGATGATGCATGGAATAGGTTTAAGTCTACGTTCGAATCCGTAACTCAACCGTTTATCCCATGGTCAGCACGTAAGTTATCATATTACCCTCCATGGATTAATAAGGAAACCCGGAAGCTGTTGAAGCGTAGGAAACACTTCTGGGACTTATTCTTGTCAACAGGTCAGGCATCATTTAAGTGCGAATATTAAAAAACCGGAATATATGTAAAAAACCATAGCTAAATCCCGCACGGCTTACGAACGACAGTTGGCATACGATAGCCATACCTGTCCGAAGCGACTGTTTTCGTACGTTAAAAGGCGGACGAAACGTAGTGATGGTATCCCCTCATTACTGTCAAGCGAAAATTCAGCATTATTGGCTGAATCTGATCTAGCGAAAGCGGAGTTATTTGCTAACTATTTCAGTGAAGTCTACTCTACGTGTAGTGTTACAACTACTTGTCCCGTTGACAATGAGATACCAGCCATAGGACCTTTACATGTGACAGAGGATATAGTTCTTCCTTTGATAACTAACCTAAAACCTTGTAAGATACCGGGCCCCGATGGGTCACACCCATGTTTGCTGTCGTCGCTTGCGGACATTATCTCAAGACCGCTCACGATGCCCTTCAACATGTCCCTTTCACAGGCTCAACTACCTAGAGACTGGAAAGACGCCATAGTTAGTAATATATTTAAGGATGGTCAGAGACGGATAGTATCTAACTACCGGCCTGTTAGCCTGACCAGTATAGTAGTTAAGTTACTTGAAAAATGAATTCGGGCTAAGCTACTGTGCCACATAGATTCGTATAATCTGTTAACTCCCGAGCAACATGGGTTTCGTAACAAGCATTCATGCTTGACTAATTATAAGTCACGACTTAAAAACTACTACGCACTGCAATGCGGTTGCTTCCAAAGACTTTCGCGCGCTATGGTCGCTTCGCAGAGTATTTAAATGCTTTGACGAGGATATGTTTCGAATTTTATATCCCACCTATGTAAGGCCACACTTAGAATACTGTATCCAAGCAGCTAGCCCTTGTCTGATAAAGGATACTAAATCGCTTGAGCGTGTCCAGCGTGTAGGGACAAAATTAGTAGAGGGTCTTTCCAAACTCTCTTACGATGAGCGTTTAAAACGTCTAAATCTTTTCCCCTTATCGTAGGACGCGAAGTGACCTTATACTGGCATTTCGTATCTTTAATTATGATCTGGGTGTTAATATGTCTTATCTTTTTGCTCCCTCCAGCACTAATAATCTCCGGGGTCATAGCAAGAAGGTTCTGAAACCGCGATCTAATAAACTAAAGGTGGGGTCCTGTTTTTCTCATCGAGTGGTCAATGACTGGAACGCTTTACCGGAACAAGTGGTATCAGCACCATCAGTGAACATTTTCAAAAAGAAGCTGGACCTTCACTGGAAGGAAATCTGTCAGGATTAACACAGGTTCATCAACCTACTATCCTTATTACTGAAGACTGAAGACTGATGAATGTTAGAAAATGTGCCACAATTTTGTCACCCTTCATATCATTCTTGGTCATGCTACATATCTCAAACCTTTCAAGGTAATCCTCAAAAGCTTCAGAAGTTGAATGAATGTCCAACTGTTGTATCGCAGGCTCCATCGCGACGCCAATATGATAATCAGAAGTATTCGAATTGTAGTTTAAACTAGTAATCCCAGGAATAACGCAATTTAATCAATAAGTATTAGATGAGCCCGAACGAATGTATTGTATCTGGAATTCAAAATTACAACAGTCATCAACACCAAGAAGTCATTGATTTATTTAAACACCACACCAACTCACCACGTAACATAACACAAAGCTGAAAACTTAGGTAAGAGTGTATTTAAGGCGTATATATTTCATTCGCTTAGCTGACGTTTCAGTGCAAACAAGTATAGCTAAAATAATCAGCACTTTTTATGAAGTTCATCTACAATACTGCTTCGCAGCCACTGTACACTTTTTTCAGCAGAAAATGAACACATGAAGAGAAGTAAAATAGAATTTTGGCATTAGTGGATCACTTTCAAATCAAAGTTTCATCCGTACTGTCCTATGTTTGGAACAATTATAGCCCAGTATCTTTGTTTGACTTTTTTATAGGAAAATACTTTAATGCTCCGCCTCACTAAAAGAGCCAAATCGATTTATATTTATTACTACTAAGATGTTTGCTATTGTACATTGAGTGCTGAATACTGGCACCGTTCTAAATATAGACTTTAACTTCATACAAATTACTGCGCGATGAACGTTGATGAACCGAAAACAATGGTAATGTCAATGAATCACATTTTGCGAATTTATTAATTATCGTTTGCCTCCATGGGATGCCAGTGCAAATATGTTTCGCCTAAATCATGACATAATACCACAATATTCTGCTAATCGTTTTAGGAGAGTGCTTTTATATCAGACGAGATTGATTTGGTAAATCACATCAATGTTAAAAGTTGACGTTCTGGTATTCTTTAATGCATTTGTCGTCATGGATGCGCAGACAAGGTGTCAAATTTGTAAGTGTTTGAGTTATTATGCGAACTAGGAATCCAAGAAATGACGCAATTTAGATCAAAGAGAGCTGGGTGAGCATTGCCTTCACTTGAAAGGAGGTCTGTCAGGATTAAGACAGGTTCATCAACCTACTATCCTTATTACTGAAGACTGATGATTGATGAACGTATGGTATATAGAATCCGAAATTAGGCATTCATCATTTACAAAGAAATTATTTGTCCCTACAAACACCACACAATGTTGGGGTTCTTGTATACTCTTATGTCTGGTTTCTTAAGAAGACAAAGGTATGAAGTTCTTTATTTATCACAATAATTAGATCGTGGATAATAGGATTTATCTGTTTCTGACAGAAAGGCGTCTCTACTACATATGCATGGCTGATATAGTCCAAGAATACATGTTTATTATAGTTGTCTTTCACTAGTAATGTTATTGTACCGTCTTACAATTCTGATTTTCCACCAGTCCTCTCTCTTTACTTCAATTCTAGAGCAAAAGCAAGTGCTTTAAGCATTTTATAGAATCCTTAACAAGCTTTTCTCTATACTCCCTTTTGGAGTAACGTCGGGCTATGGTATATGCATTTATGGCTTCTCAACACCGATAATGCGTCTCACTAACTCTTAGTAACTTAAGTCCTCTTCTCATTCTTCTTCTTTTACAAAGAAATGCTAAACTCCTTTTGTTTGATCCTAAAGAAGAACCTCTTAATTTGCTTGTCATCACCAATGTATTCTTTCCTCAAGAAATATTTTTACATCACATTTATACTCCAATATAGCCTGGTAAGTTTGAGGTTATTGTTAAATTTCAAACACTGGATTGTGCTATGAACCATGTACTTGTGTGAAGATCTTATTTTTATTTATTTATGTCACATAAATATTGGTACAAGGAAGCACCAGATAAATATGCGCCTCACAAATCTCATTCGATTTGTGTGAGGGCTGTGATACTGTCCAGGTGCCCAGACTGAAGCAGGTGGTTTTCTTAGGGGGCCACACCCGGAGCCTTTGACCTGAATGTCCGATCCACAAGGCAGTGGAGCATCGTGAGGAGATGCAGTCCCATGGTAGCCGGTGACCAACAGTTGGTTCATACGCCGTTCGTTCCTTCAGGATCCTGGAGCCTATATACATCATTGGTTTGGAATCAGGGTTTTCCAACTCCCGTAGGTGAATCCTTCATATCCACCAACTCGTTTAAAGCGCCGGACATTCGCTTTTCGTCCTCTCACTTTTGTGAACAACACCCCTGCCACGAGAAGGCAGTGAGTAGGACTTCTCTGGCAGAGGCTATATATTCACGTGGCCATATGAAAGCATTTGGAGAGGGAGAGCGTACTCTCCCTACTCTCGGCCGTACCAGGGCATTTGGGGGCGTGTAAAGATCTAGTTTTGCCCGTTATAGCTACGTGAGCTTAAATATTTTATCTCTTGATGGCTCAAACGAAGTGACATTTCGTTCATCAGTAGCTAAGAATTTCTTTCTCACCTAACACATGGTGAGACTTTAAAGTAATAATGAAGATAAGTGTTATCCATGCGAAATTAATCCATTCTTGTTTGATTTCTTTCAAATAGTATATAACTATGTCTTTAAAGCATATAGAAATTGTGATAATTTATAAGGTTAAATACTTTTATCACTCTGAAGAATTTCTTGCTTGATATGTAAAATCGTTTTATAAACTTCCCACAAAAGTACCTATTATAATGATTAATATGTGGTTTAAATGACCAGACAATCAAAATGAGAAATTTTGTAGGCTTTCAGGACTCAGTGGCCGAGTGGATAACGGTGGCGTTTGAAGCGAGGGTACTGGGTTCGAGTCCCAGAGTGAACATCAACTCTGAGATGCAGGTACATCCAGCTGACGAGTCCCAAATAGGACGAAACGCGCGTCCTGGATTGCACTGCTAACCATGCTTGTGAATTAAGGTATATCGAGGCAATACGCACAGTATGCACATATGCAAATTAGAGGCTGTCCAGTTGCAGTCCTAACAAATCGATGGGAAGATTCAAACAAACAATACTAAGCTGAATTTATCTTACTTGTGTTTATTCCAGTCACTTTTTTGTTTATTTCAATATTTCTCATGTCTTTCTGCCGTCAAAACGTTTTATAAGGTGAACCAATCCATCAACATGTGGAAATGTTTGCAACTGCATTCTCCATTTTATCGCATACAGTCCTTATCTCGCTTTACCAAATATATTTGTTACATTTCAAATTTTTTTTATAATGCTTCCACATTCCACCTTTTCATTACATCGGCTTCTCAAAACGTGAATGATGTTAAAATATTCTGAGTGATTAAGGCTTGCATTAGGTGGAGCTTTCTTATTGGTTCACTGCCTTGGGACAAATTATTTGCAAACCATTATATTTACGTTTGTTGAAGTTAAGTCTAAAGGTCAGTTCGGAAGTAATTACAGCGATCCATTTTCTTATAGTAGGTTACTGGTCTGAACTCAACCCCACCCACCTTAGTCTGAGTAGCCATATAGTATTACTTGTCAACACGAAAATGTATGATTCACGGATGGGCACATGAACATATATTTGATAAGTGAAAGAAACCAAAGGCTGTTCTATAATATAAAATACATGGGACTTTAAGCATGGGTTTATAAACGCTTGCTGAGAATAAACACAGACAGCTGAACAGGGTCAAATGTTGCACATTTTTTATATTAATAAATATCGCTAACAAATGACGATCTTCCATTATTATCATTTTTTTGGAAATAATTATTTCAGTTCCTCGCTACTTTGCAGAGCACTTAAAGAGCCTCACTTTTTTAGGTGTAAACTCATACATCAAAGCTTCAAGACTGATTAGCTTTTGAATCGCGCGTGCATTTTTCAGTCCAAAAATAACCTAACGTTCCTTATCTTCTTAGTTGTTATGTTAAACTTTGAACTGAGTTACGTTAAAGAATTTTCTAAACGTGGCAGCATGTTCGAAGCGATGCACTACTAAAAGGTTTGACTAAAGATTTTCACTGCCAAAACACAAAAATTAGTGTTTTGTGCTAATCACCGCAATGCCCACAACGAAAGTCAGCCAAATTTCTTATAGGAGTCACGCGATGGTTAAGTCGGTCGTGTTATGCGCCTCACAATCAATCTGATCAAGACATTCCGTAATGCATATCTTCAGTGTATTTCGTTTATACTATCATGGTCCTGACAACAAGTGCTTTGGCCAAATGTACGTCAGCTGTATACAACGTACTGGTCTCGCTTGAACATTTTCACTTAAAATGAGCTGTCAGATAAAACTCTGGTGGAAGCCACAGGATAAATTCAATTAAAAATTGTCAAAATAGAATTTCCATGTATTTACAATTGTATTGTATTGTTCTATGAGTTTTGCTACTGATTCATCTATCCCGTATCTCCAATCTGAATGAATTTAGTAGGCCCGAATTTAAAAGGCAGCACACGTTACGTGAGTATTCACAAAGGTTCTTGATAAATCGTGAAATGCAAATGTTTGTGGTTTTAAGACACACAGGATTCACAGGAGTTCTTATATAGTTGTAAATACTTTTCATTTCGGCTACTTTTAAGAGCCAACTCTCCTTAACGAGTGACTGAAGAATTCACTACTTCAGTTAAACTTAACCATATGTTTACTTCCTGTTATTTTCTAGGTAATTTCCAACTAAACATGATTATTATCAGCAACCCATCAATGTATGCTGTGCAAGTCGTGACATTGTGATATGAACCGTTTGAAATCAGGGAGTTAATTAAATAATATTTTGTGCTGACTTACTTTGTTGGGAAAAGTCAAAGGTTTCTTACTAGTTAAGCCCACTTACCGACGGACCTTATGTTGAACATATCTGGTCATAAACTAGAAACTTGATGGACGTCTACATGAATTTTAGTATTTCTCGCTTAGTTTGTTTTCAGTAGGTTAAAAGTAAACTGTTTACTTTCTAGTTATACATTAAACTGACTCACTTTCCAAATATCTGATGCTTAAATTTTAGTTTGTGTGTCCGGACTTTAGAAATGCTTTGTTAAGTTTTAATTTTGAGTTTTTAAAATTTATATGTGCTTCTAAAAAAGGCTTCAGTTTAGGTCATTAGCCTAGTAGTTTGATAAAACATGGTATTTTATTGGGTCTTGCTACTAGCTTACATTTAAAAGCTATTTGAATTGTAAGGTGTTTCAGTCAAGTATCCTACAAACATCAACAATATATAAAGTAGATTTCATAAATTATTTTCCTCATTGTCTTTTTATTTTAAAAATCTCCTGAAGTTTGTTGGTTTAAGAATGCTGCCAGTTACGGGAAACTGAAAAAAGCAGTTTATAGTCCTTGAGATATAAAGTGACATAACTCAGTGTGTAATTGTGATTAATTGTGTTTTGTTGGGTTTTTTGATATATATTTATGTAGAGTATGTAGATTTTCTCCGTGTGTTTTAGTACTGCAGATACTGAAACTTAGAAGTTTTACTGATTTTTTATTTATTATTTGCAAATCGAATTCACTGACATATCTACAATAGGGTGTTGTATAAATTAAGTAAACTAACAGGTAGTTACTGAGTTACAGGATTCCTTTTCAGATTTTCTATTTTTTCATTTGATTCAACATCTGTCAACCTTGTCGTTTTTTGAACTATTTTTCAATGTCAAATAAAAAAGGTCACGCATATTACAGACTATTTAGCTAAATTATGCTAAATCTCCATAATCTTTATATTGTAGATAATCCTGAGATTTTTTAAAAATTAATAACACAGCCTGTTTTTGTGAGTTATAACATTCGCTGAGCGAAAACTACGGTCAAAACCCCGTATGAGTGCAGGCATAAATAAGCATGATCCATGCTAGATAATTAATATTCAAATCTAACTATTTTCTTAAACTGCTTTCTTTAAGCCAGATGATTTACTCGTAAAGCTTTTATTGTCTATCTAGACAACATGGTCAGTGCAAACTTCAAAAGTTACTAATGATTGATAAAATCATCACGATAATTTGAGTGGTAGTTTTCGGATAGAACTGATCGTCGAACCACAATGAAATGGATTTCATTTGATAGACATACTGGAAAACTGACTTAATATTTTATTAATAAGAAATTAAAGCTGACATTTACATACTAACATAGTTATTCAATTCAATTTGACGTATCAGATAACCCAAAGTCCTTTAATAATGTAATGAAGGATAACAAAGTAACCGGTATTTTTTTCACTTCTGTGCATCGCGTTAGTCATAATAAATATTTCAAAAATCAATAATCGAAGATTACACCCCTTAGTGTTGGTTACTCGAATATAGATCGTTTAAACTTAATGCAGTTATTTACGTGGCTTGGTGGATTAACCTTAGTTAACTTACTTGAAATTAGGTAAACTTGAAGTCCTCCCTTAAATCTACACGTCAATTAATTTGGTTAAGAGTGGTAACAATAAATTTTAATTACCTCTATGCATCAATATCATTTTCTATGATTCCAATCTGATGAAAAATTTTATTTTTCATATCTGGACTATTGAAAAAAATTGGATCGAAATTTGATTACTGAATCTCATATGATTGTATAAATTTTAACTTATAGTGTGAACATTTTAAAATTTCATCCAAAATATGAATATTCCATGTTCAATAATGCATATATTTGCAGCTCAGTTGTTATAGACTTAAATTAACTCTTTAGTTCAAGAGTTCCTCTTTGTTATTCTTCATTTAACGAAATAATATGTAATTACCAACTGAAGATAACTATATTTATCCTGACTAAAAAGA